TTTTATGATTTTTTTATCAAACTGTATACTAGTAGGTATATCTACTTTAACTGGAAAAATCAATTTTTTTAAACTTTAGTATTGGACTTATCTTATTATACAGGGTGGTCCGAACTGTAATCCGGAAACTTCGGCAACATATTCTGCAGATAATAAGTAAAAAAGTTATTTTAAATGTATGTTCTAAAATGCTTAGTTTCGGAGATACAGGGTGTAGAAGTTTCATTTTTATTTCGATTTTTTCCAAATAATTTCTGAAGTAACGTCAATATTTGGATGAAAATTGGTGTCTGGGAGTTTTTTGACATAAGACATTTGATTTCGATGTCAATATGGCCCTTACTTCTAGAGGGAGCCACCTACGTATTTTTAACTGGTTTGAAGAGTAATAACTTTTCGTCCGTACCTGTATGAAACTAGCTAGTTAAAAATATACATTTACGATATTTTTTACGTAAAAAAGATCCCTTGGTAAAAATTGCTACGAGTAATGGTTCTCGAGATATTTGGAATCGAAATGAGCAATACCTGTCATCATTGGCATAAATCAAACATATTGTTGACGAAATAGTTATTAAACTAAAATCATAAATTTGAAATATTTTTGTGCCAAAAGTTCAACAGAAACTGTTTTATCATAATTTTTTCCAAGAAAAATTTATGATTGGTTTAGAAAAAAAAGTTCCCAAATTTCTCATTTCAGTATGCTGAGTGGATTTATTTTTAGTCAATAATTCAATAATGACATGTATTGTAAATATCTTGAGAACGGTTGCTCATAGCGATTTTTACCAAGAGACATTTTTTACATAGAAAATCACGTATATGTATATTTTTTCACTCAGTAGTTTTATACAGGTACGAACAAAAAGTTATTACTCGTCAAAACAGTTAAAACACATGTAGGTGGCGCCCCCTACAAATTGGAGTCATATTGACATCAAAATTAAATTTCTCATGTCAAAACACTCCCAGACACTAATTTTCTTCCAAATATTGACGTTACTTCAGAAATTATTTGGAAAAAATCGAAATAAAAATGAAATTTCTACACCCTGTATCTCCGAAACTAAGCATTTTTGGACATACATTTATATGAACTTTTTTAATTATTTTTATCAGTAAAATTTGCTGCCGAAGTTTCCAGAATACAGTTCGGACCACCCTGTATACAGGCTTAATCGAAGAGTTCTTTTTTACCTTAAATTTAAAACACGCTGTGCAATAATTTAGTGAGCAAATTTTCCTAAAGCATTTTTTTTTCGGCCAGAGCTATGTTTCCTGACCATTCTATTTTTTGGCATACCTTGGTTCATTTTTAAGAGCGAAATGAATTTCTCACCAACAGTTTGTAATTTTTTTAATTATCATTACTTTTTGATGTTATTTTTTAATATGACGAGATGGATATGTTAACTATTGTCGTAATGTCATATTGACAGTTACATTTTGTATACCTACAAAATAGGACTAAAAATTAAAAAAAAATAACATTTTAAATTTGACGAAAATTTTTTCCGGTGCGTTTTTTTTGAGAGTGTATTTTACTATACTAGTATTTTTCTGGGATCTGTGAAAATATTTTTCTATAGATATAGATAGTAAAAAATTAATTTTTGGGATAAAAATAGAGGTTACTTTTTTATTAGAAAAAAATATATTTATTTATTAATTTTTTACACCAATGTATTAATAATTAATATTTATTGTAAAATATATGGGGAGATTGAAACTGAAAACGAATCGATAGCGATTTTCCGCCATTGGTTGCAAATAAACGCTTTGCCAAATAAAAACAATGCCGGTCCGAAAACAAAACAGTTAGAACAAAAAGAGGCCAACTGACTGCATAATGGCAAATAATGCAAATTTAAAAGCAGAAAATAGGCGTCCGCTTGTGCGGTTTTTCAGTTGATTCGACGTACCATCGATCTGTGGACCGCTCGGGCAGAAACCACGATTCAAAATGCCCTAATTCGACCAAATTATCTGGAGTGCTCGGCGCTTTTTCGCTAAAAACCTGGCTAATTCCTTTTTTACTACCCCGGTCTGTTTCTACACGGTGCTATTAGCTTTTTTTCCTACCCTTTTATTCTTTTTACCACCCATTTCGATTCCAATCTTTTTTTTTTTTTAGTTTACACATAGAAAAATACGAAAGCGTATAGCTGCCATCGCAATATTGAAAACTATTTTTAGCAAAATTTACACTTTTTCTGTAAATTTACAGATTTTCTGTAAATCTACACTTTTTAGAGCTGCCTTCGCAATATTGAACACTATTTTTAGCATAATTTACACTTTTTCTGTAAATTTACACTTTTTCTGTAAATTTACAGGTTTTCTGTAAATTTACACTTCTGCAAATTTACACTTTTTCTGTAAATTTACAGATTTTCTGTAAATTTACAGATTAAATTTTCTGTAAATTTACAGTTAATCTACAGTTTTTCTGTCAATTTCTTTGAATGCACTTAAGGTGCATTCAGCTGCAGCCGTGTAGCTAACAGTATGTTGAAATTGCTTCCAAAAATCGTACCAGAATATCGATCATGTCCATGTAAATTTTTCTTTGAAATAAAATAAGTCATCCTAAATATCTTCGCAAATGACGTAAACTTAGGACATAACCGTCTTCGACCTGTCAAAATTTCTTTGTAACTTAATCCAATTTAAAAGTAGGTTTTAATGTATTCGTGTATAATATCTGATGAATATCTGTACCTACTTCGATGGCACAATGTAACTACTGAGTAACAAACAGTTTGATGCCGAGACGTCGTCTTGCTGGGTAATATATTTCACGTGCAATTTAAAGAAAAATTGTAAATTTACAGAAAAATGTAAACTTACAGAAAAAGTGTAAATTTACAGAAAAACTGCAAATTTTCAGCCTCTACGCTTTCGGCGACAACCATAATGACAATAAAAAGCCAGTATCTACCTATAAGTGGATAAGACAAGTTTTGCTGCAGTAACGTAATTAAAAAAAAACGTAAAATATATGATTCTGCTTAATTTTCTTACTCTAGAGCCCACTGTTATTAAAATACATGAAATGAAATACTAACATATTTTTTATAAGACTTTTCGTTTTTTTTTGCTTGTCTGCGCATTCACATCCCTAAAGAACGATGAATCACATACTGTGATATTATGAGAAAAAAAATGTTGACTTTATTAAATATTCTTTTTTAGCTCTGGGTGGTAAAATAAAAATGAATCCATTTCTATAACAACAAATAAAGCGTTCTAGATAGGCGTTGGGTTGCTTTGTAAATCTACCCCCTTTCCGTGTTGCACGTCATTATTATAAATATTATAGGGTTAGGCAGTTGGAGAAAAACTTTCTGTCGACCATTAAAGTGTATATAGGCGTGGACAAAAGAACAAATAAAGCTTTTTAACCCCCTCCCCATCTATCTGCATTTATTTGTGTACCGTTTTTATACAGTATATATTTAGAAGCGTCCGGATTGGTATGTTGCGTGCTTTTGTTACCATTATACCACTTACGGAATAAAGAAATAATATTTTATGAAGTTTAGCACCCCTTAGGGTCATATGAGTGCATAAATTCTTTTTTAATGGAGCTGAAACATAAGAAATACAAATATTTTTTTTTAATTTTTTTTAGTTTTTATCACGATAAAATCTTATTTTTTTAAATTACAATGGTCTTAAATGGCCTTATTTTTACTTACATTACTGTCTACTAAGCTCTTACTGTCTTACTTCAGATCTAACTAACAGATCTATATATTATAGTGTATGTACATATACTACCTACTAACAGATCTTATATTATAGTGTATGTACATATATACAGGGTGAATCTTAAATAAGTTCAAATATTGTCAGGGCTGATAGATCTCGACAAAAGAAACATATTTGAAATTATGTTTTTTAACTAAAAAAAATCCATATCTTCATTTTTTTTCGGGAAAAAACGTCATGATCTTCTTGTTTCTAAGGTCGAAATATACTACCACCAAAAATAAGTGCAAATATTTTCAGTGTTGGTAGATCTCAATAAAAGAAACATATTTTCTCTTTACCGTTTCTCAAATAAAGCCTAAATAACCAAGTTATTTTACTTAAGAAAATTAAAAGAAAATGATTTTTTGCTAACATTTTGAGAACCACTGGATCTTTTCTGAATTTTGTTTCTTGAAAATTTAATCTACTACCCATGTTGCCATATTGTCAAGAAATGATGTTTTTTGACTAAAAACTAAAAAAAAAATCAAATTTTTTATAAAAAAAGTCTTTGCCCGAAAAAAAACTTATAATCGTGTTTCTGGGGTAATATACTACCCTTAAAAATATTTGCACTTGTTTAAGACTCACCCTGTATATATATAATGTCACCATATTATATATAGGTACCATGTGAGTCCATAAATGAAACCAAACCACTCTATTTGGCTTTAAGTATCATAAGTATATACAGTTTAGCAAATTATTTTGTAGTTTTAGCGTTAAACAAATAACAAATAAATGTAAAATTTCCGAAGAATATGTCAAAAATAGTACAGAAAGAAATTTGATTTAGAATAATATTTGAATATATTTTTATATTCTCCTGGAGCGAATGGAAGTAAAATAAGTTATTTTATGTATTCTTTACGCCTTTCACACATTGATTCTGCAAAGTAATGCAAAAAGTCAAGAGAGAAAGAGACAGTGTATGTATTATTTCCTAAATATATGTATAAACGAAATGTAAAATGTAAATTCCGAGGATTTAGGGAATCGCACACACAAATAGTAAAGATTTTACGGGAGCAGTTATCCTTCCTTTTTTAAGGACTAAAGCCAGGCAGTCGGAAGGTCGACATGATGGCTGGGAGGAGCCAAGCCCTAAGAGAAGGGGACCAGGAAACCCGATTGGCGCGCAGCTTTCCCGCCCATCAACTGTTGTCAAATATTGGTGGACAAATAGTTAGTGTTTGTTATATGTTTAGATACCCAGATGGGTCCTTAGTAGAGCAGTAACAGTATAGTTTACCTTCTCAGAGAGACGCTTTTAATAATGTTGCACAAACAAACTGATATTTGAATAGATTTGCCAGTTTGTACGCGACAAGTTTTTGATTCGATCGTTCGAAGTGTTGAGTGAATTTTTTTGTGATTTTAAATTTTCGGAAAAATGTGCAGTAACGAGAGCCCAGCAAACGCGTCCCCAAGATTACCGATGCCTTTTCCGTTAGAACCCAACGGACCCAGAGCTCTCCTTCCCATAGATCAGTACAGATTGCAGCTGTATCAATATGCCGTCGCTGAGCGTCTCAGGTACCCGTTACTAAATCCATTCCCGTCGCCTTTGACTTGCTACCCATTATTTCCGCGAGCTCTACAACCTGAAGAACCCAAACCGTCGCACAGCTACATCGGGCTCATTGCTATGGCCATTCTAAGCTCTCCAGAAGGAAAACTGGTGCTCTCCGACATCTATCAGCATATTCTGGACAACTATCCTTATTTCCGAACACGGGGACCTGGCTGGAGAAACTCTATACGCCATAATTTATCTCTGAACGATTGTTTTATCAAAGCTGGAAGGAGCGCGAATGGTAAAGGACATTACTGGGCCATACATCCAGCGAACGTGGAAGATTTTCGCAAAGGGGACTTCAGGCGTCGCAAAGCTCAAAGAAAAGTCCGCAAACACATGGGTTTGGCTGTGGATGAAGACGGAGCGGACTCACCGAGTCCTCCACCGCTCTCAGTGAGTCCGCCAGCACTTCCTGGGCCTTCAACGTCCGTTTATCCCACTTCTACCAGTACAAGAAGCACCAGGAAGCGGCAGTTTGACGTGGCTTCGCTCCTGGCTCCTGATTCAGGCGATGATACGGCCGAAGAAGACATAGATGTAGTGTCCAGTGATCAACAAGAGGCTGGTGAAACGAAATCGTGGCAAATGTTTCCAATAGTAAATTATTACCAGGCCTTACTCCAGGCGAGGCCCCCAACACCTACACATCCAGTGAGTCCAGACTCTTAAGGACATTTTTAATTAATTTAAAGTAATTTAACAGCATTTTTATGTACATTCTCCAAGTCGTAGTGAAATACCAACTGTTTTCCATTCAGCTACTTATAGTTTTGTTCCAGAACAACAGGCAATAACTTTTTTTTATTTAGAATGGTTTATACAAGAAAATTTAGTTCAACATCAATATTTCTTGCATTAAAATAAAAGTACTAAGTTGAGTAAAAAGGATTTTTGAGGGATCAAACAAATCATACAAAGATTTATATAGTCTGAATGGAAAACTGATATGAAATTTTTATCTGTCTTATTAAACACACTTACCTACATTATTTAAGAGAAATATATAAAAACATTACAAGCAACTATTTATTTATAATGGCAGTTGCTTAAATTGAATGTATAATGTATCTATATTTTTTCGTTTGATTTTTCTGTGGCTGTATATATATTAAAATATATAAATCCGCTGTAATTTGTTTTGAAGTTATATTCTTGAAGGCACACACAACACAACTTTATGAAAAGTCGAGATCTAGAGACTTTTATAAATATTTATAATAATCTTAAATGTGTATAATATAAAATCCGTATATACCTGTAAATATATTGTAAAGAAATAAATGAAATAAATTATTTCAAGTATCGATATTCAGATTTTTTTTGATTCTCCAAATCTCAAAGAGATCTAGATTTTTCTTACAACCTATCATCAGTAATTTTCGATGGATCATAGGTTTCTGTAAATACTTTTATGGTGAAAATAAGTTAGTTAAGTTAACTTATTTTCTATTTTTACTGTTTTCAGTAATATTTCCTTATTTACATATAATTTGAGTACTGAATTATGATTATTTAATTATATTTGGAAATATAGGTAATGAAATTTCCTCCTTTTGTTGTCAATGAATCACAAACTTAAAAAAAAATATATGTTTTATTTTTCTAAAGAATATATTAAAAGTTGTTATGTGAATGTACTCGTATAACATGCATCTTGAATACCAAAAGGCAACGGGCTGAAAAAAACCTCTTCAATGGATGGTTTTTATTTTGTTTGGCACTATTGTTGGCCAGACACGAGCTGTCAATGAGGCTGTTATTCTTAATTAAACCATGTTTATTTTTCTTCAATGCATCTTACATTTATCGGCTTTCAAAACATAACAGATTTTTATACGAACGGTTTTATATAAAGATGGCTTGTGTAATCAATGAAGAAATACCTACAAGATCGAATCTGATTAACGGAATTAGACTTGAAAGTGGCTCCTTTGTTATATGCTAGTTATACCGTATCTAACTATTATATTTTTTGATCTTTTTTAATGAGTAACAATAAAAAAATACATTATATTTGGCGCATAAAACTATCAATAAACCACTGTTTTTTCCAATCAACTTTTTTGTTTTGCCTCAAAATCAATCCCATGATGCGCCATGCACGGCCAAAATTGCTCGTATCTCTATCAAAAAACCAAACACGAACTTGATACGATGGAACGAAATCAAATATTATTGAATAATGCCTGTCAATTAACCTGTCATATTGCATTATGCCATTTAAATGGACCACGTGCGTGAGGCGCATCACAAAATGCAATTGCAATTCCTGAATATCGAGAAAATATAACTGCATTAACAATGGCCAATTAAAGGATTGAAAGCTTTTCAAAAAGCTTTACATAATTATAATTAGTATGCACCAAAAATATTTTTTTTTGGCAAATAATTTATGAGGAACAAAAATATTTTTTGTATTATACATTCATATTTTTCTAATGTGTTAAAACCGGAGAATGTTAAACAAACAGAGAAAAAATAACAAAAATTTAAACTTTAAAGTGTGTAGAGGTGCAAGATAAACAAAATAAAGAAATGATCAGGCGTGTGTAGTATTAAGAAAGAAAGAAAAAAAAAAGTTGCAAGTCACCTTTAGTCTCACTCTTAGTATTTCTGACATGAGTAGGTCCTTGTGATGAAGAGCGTTTGCCGACAAAAGGATTTTTGGGAAAAAATAAAAGCCAGTTAAGTTTTTCAAAATGAAACACTCAATACCAGGCGATTTTGACGTAGATGTGTTGTTTTTTCGACAGCCAATTGAAATCGCAAAAGTGGTAAAGTTTTGAAAGACATCATACGGCATCAAAGAAAAGAAATAGTTGTAATATTTTCAGGACTAAATACCACCTTAGTTATGTTGATCTAAACCTTTTAATTAGTTAGGAACCAAATGATCAAATGGCCAAAATCGGTGACCAAAATGCATGAGAAGGTCGAAAAATTGCTCAAGACTCTTAGAAAAATAGTACCAAGGTAAATCTGGACTCAAAATTTTAGAAATTTCTGTATTTATAAGGAGTTTTATGTAGTGGCTTACAACGGCCGTATTTTTGGATTCTAAGCTTTTTAATTAGTAAATAACCGTAGTTTTACTGTAACCGGTAAATAATTGCCAATTTTTGACTGAAGAAAGTCGATAATTTCGTCTTTTTTTTGGGGGGCATTTTTTACACTATTTTAAGGCTCATAAAAAACAATAAACCTGATCATAAAATTTTGAAATTTTTACTATTTATAGGAAATATTATGTAGATTTAAATATGTAAATATTAATATCTTGGTTGTCTGAGAAAATTCATTTTTGTTCACTTGTTATTCACATATTTTTGATTAAGGTTACAACGTCCCTTATATCTATTTCCGTTCTCGTAGAACTAGAGTGGCCTATATTTTCTTATTAGATTTATATACCTTGGTATTGTGAGAAAATTAATTTTTTCGACCCTTGTTTTTGAGCTATTTTTGATGATGGTTAAAACTTCACTTATGTACAACAACTAATATCTATTGTATTCATATGACCACAATGGACCTCTATTTTCTTATTGTACATCTTTTAATTATTAAACAATAGAAGTTTTAACAAAATCGGTATGTAAGAATATCGAAAAAATTGTAATTTTTATCTATTTTTTAGAGATAAAAAATAACATAAACATAATCATAAAACTATGAAACTGTCAGAATTTGTAGGAAACTTTATGTAGACTCAGAACATATGCATCTTTAAAGGTTTCCGTATTTTGGTATTGTGGAAAAATAGTTTTTTTGAAGCTTTGTTTTCTACCTATTTCCGCTTATGGTTAATATTTATCGTACATCCAGTATAATATTTGTCAGGCCAACAAAGTTTATATTTTCATGATCTACATCTTTAGTTAGTTAATAAGCATAAAATCATCAAATTATGTGATTTGAAGGTTTTATGACTATATATTATTAGAATGTAGTAGATACAAATAAAAATATTTTAGTTACCGTGAAAATATCTTTCACGATGATGAAAAAAAAATTCTGGTAAAGTTTGAGCTCTTAATATTAATATTAAGAGGTTTCTCATCATGATTTTCTATTTTCTATTTAAATAAGACGGGAAAAATGTGTCTTTGAATTTAATTGCTGTCTAACAAAATTGACGAAAGCTATGAGAGGTGTAACAGTCCAAAAAAAAATTTCCCAGTGTTATTTAAATGAAAAATAGAAAAAAAATCACCTCATAATTAAGATCTCAAACTTTACCAGAATTTTGGTATCACCAATTTTGGTTTACCATTTTTTGTTGCACCCTACTGTATAAGTTTACTAATTATTATACCTATTTCAAGACAAGTTTAAATTAATCTTGAGTCTTAATAGCTATAGAATCTGTGAGGTATAAACGTGTTTATTATATTTCATGGTAGATATTAACGAGTTAAAAATCTAAAAGGTATCAGCTACAATAGCAAATAACCCTTTAAAAAATGGGGTCCGAAGTGGAAGGTAAGTGAAGAACTCTCTGCGGAATGTTTATAGAAACATCTTGTGCGTTCACATTAGTCGTGAAGTAGTTTCTTGTGAAGAAAGGCGACCGCTGAGTGAAAGGGCGATCATTAAAACAAGGCCCGAAGATATAAAATAAAATCTTGGCCCGGCTGAATAATCCATTGTGATCGTAACGTGATGTTTTCCAGTTGGCCGGCCGGCAATGGCGTTTGTAATTGTATTTAGTGAACTGTACGGAAATTGTAAATAATTGTAGTCCTAAATACAGGCTTCGGCAACGCCACAATGCCAAGTCGGATGATCTGGAGTGGTCCCGCTGCGACTTACTCACACTTTGGTGGCCGATTTCGAATTTATTCACTATATTTGGCCCCCCGGTTACGAGATTCGTTCAAATCAACACCTATGGCCCTTTGTTACAGTCTCTATATCGCGTTTTTTTTCAGTCTATTTTGAATAATTGTGCGGCGCGTACAATGCCGTCGATTATTCAATGAAATCACGAAGCTAGAATAATTACTAGACATTTTTATTCTCTTTTATTTATGTTTTTTACTTTGTATAAATCTAACTCAGGTGTGATAAACGTGGAAAAATAATTAATTTTTACTATCACAAATTTAACTGAATTATTTGCTATTACTAATACTGTTTTCCCAAGACTACAAGAGCCTATAAAAATTTGAGCGTTCGTAGGAAATTTTATGTAGATTTAGAAAATATACACCTTTGAAAGCTTAGTTATCTCGGTTTGGTGAAAAAAATAAATTAATTGAACCCATGTTTTCAGCCATATTTGATGAACGTTCCCCACATCTATTACTTTTCTCGTAAGAATACAATGGCCTATTTTTTATTCTACGCCTTTTAATTAGTAAATAATAGTTTTTTAGCAAAATCGGTGGCATGACAAAAGTCGTTAATTGTCAAAAAATGTCCAAGCATTTTTTGGCTCTTTTACTCATATTCAAAAGTCTTAGAAAGATAGAAAACATAGTCCTAAAATTATGAAAATTTCAGTATTTGTAGGAATTTTTATGTAGATTTAGAAAATATATAACTTTAATAGCTTGGGTTCCTTGATTTGGTGAGAAAATAGATTATTTGGACCCATGTTATAAGCTATATTTGATGATGGTTAAAACGTCCGCTACATCTATTACTGTTCTTATAAGACTAAAATGGCCTATATTTTTTTATTCATAACAGCATTTTTAGCAAAATCGGTGGCATGGCGAAAATCGCCTATTTTCATGGCTATAACATAGAAAAATAGGCAAAAACAATTTTTTCGAAAAAAATATTTTCTCACAAAGCTAAGATACCTAAACCTTCAAAAGTGTATGTATTATGGATCTACATAAAATTTCCTACAAATGCTGACATTTTCATTATTTTATGACTATGATTACTATTTTTCTAAGGCCTCTAAAAATGTGTAAAAAATAGCCAAAACTTGGTTGAAGTAATGAAAATTGGCGATTTTCGTCATGTCACCGATTTTGTTAAAACTGCTGTTATTTACTAATTAAGAGGTGTAGAATAAGAAAATATAGGCTATTGTACGATAATTAGATATATTATGTGATGTTTTAACCTTCATCAGAAATAGGTGAAAAACAAGGGTCGAAAAAATTGATTTTCTCAAAAAGGCAAGATACCTCTTCATATATTATGAATCTACATAAAATTTCATACAAAT